AAAGTGGATCTACTGCTATTAATTCATGCTGTACACTGGTCCGTTTCACCATATCATTCTCTTACTTAGACCTCAGCAATGACATAGTGTTGTCCATGGAATAAAACACACACTTCTTGGCTTGCCCTCCAAGATCTTCCATGCTCTAGGCCTGGCCAGTTTCTTGCAGCTGCTGTTAATCTAACTGTGCTGAGTTTCCCCCTCTCACTCTATTCTTTCATTTTTAAAATATAAATATCAAAATGTCTGACAACACTACCACACTTACCATTCAATGGCAGTGATTACATTTGCAATGCTGTACCATCATTATCCATGTTCATTTCCAGAGTTCTCCAAAACAAATAAACTCAGTTCTCCCCCCTCCCCAGGTGAAAAAGTTCCTTTCCTCCTCCTTGCTTTTTTCATGTGGTGCCTTGGAGATGTTGAATGGGTGGGCTCACCCACTGAACCTTACTTAGTTGTCCTCTCTTTGGATAAACTGTAGAAGTATGTGATATCGATTGGCGGTTGTTTGGTTCTGTCAAGTTGGAAGTGACTCATAGTTGACCCTCCAGCCGATTGACAGAGGCTGGAAGTGGCATGGGAGGAGGTTGCCCATCTTTCTCTTGCCAGTCGTTTGGTGGAGTCCACCATGGGCCCTTGAGTTAGCCGCAAAACTCCTTGTCCCTTAGGCCACCAGAGCTCCAGTGTTTATTAGAGTTGTTAGTAAATGCTGAATCCTTAAAGTATTCACAGGGCCTTGATTTTGGCAGGGAAATTATGTTCTCTGGGTATTATGTGTTAGTAGTTTGAGGTTATAAGATATGATTTCTAAAGAGTTTGGAGATTATACAGAAAAAGCTTGGCTATAACACAAATTATTATTAAATTGATCTAAATACCAGTGATACTATCAACATCTCGAGAAGCATAGCAACTGCATAAAATAAAAGCTTCTGTTAACAAGAGCATGACTTCCAGGATTCTGCTTTATTGCCCAGGAATCCTCCCTGGGATTTGGCTGTTGTACTATGAAATACCATTATGTCTTGTCTAGCAAGTTTCTCTCTGCATATGCGAGTGAAGGAAAATAATCCAGGCAATAAAAGTCTCCAAAAAATTACTCCAGCGTACTTTGGAAACAAAGCATGGACAGTCTAGTTATGCTTCTCTATTTGAAAATTAATCTGCATTTGAAAAATATGGTAAAAGAATAGCATGAAATGTACACTCTAGTGGAAAGGTTATAGAATGAATACAAGTGAAACACTCTTGGTAACACCCACTGCCAGGAATTATCTAGAAACAAACACATAGCAGTAAGAGTAAAAGCAAATAATATTTAGCAAATAATAGTAAATAACTTAGGTCAGCTATATGCCAGTCATTGTTCTAGGTCATTTGCATGTATTTTCTCATTTAAACCATGCTGTGATCACATGATTTAGGTACTACTGTTCTCTCTGCTTTTTGAAAGAGGCATATGAGACATTTGGAGGTAATGAGAGTTGGATCCAGGTGGAAACAACTCCAGATTTCATATTTCCTATTTGTCTTAGAGGGAGTGTACTCAGGGTGCTCCTAAGAGGCAAGGATTGGGAATTTCAGCTCACATGCTTTAGACATATTGTCAGAAGGGACCAGTCCTTCAAAAAATAGAGCATGTTGGAAAAGGTGGAGGATTGGAGAAAAAGAGGAAGCCTCTCACCAAGATAGATTGACACAGTGACTGTAACATTGGGCTCCAGTATATGGGAGAATATGAGGGTGGCACAGGACAGAGCAAGGCCAGATCTGTTGTTCATAGGATTGCTATGAGTTGTGTCAACTTGACACTTAGCACCACCATCTGACACCAAGCACCTAACAACATTTCCTCAGCAAGCCCCAGCTTCATGAAATGCCACCCCACCCTCTGCCATCAAATTTATTTCAACTTCTAGTGACCTTCCATTGGCTTTCTGAGGCTGTGACTCTTTACAGAGACTACCCATCTTTCTCCCACAAAGCTAGTAGTGGATTCAAACCACTAACCCTTTGGTTAGCTGTGTAATGTGCAACATACTACACCACTAGAGTGCTTTCAAAATGCTACCTGAACTGAAAAACAGTTTGAAGCCTTGAGTTGCAATACTTAAGGCTGCTATGGGCAAAATCTTGAATGATCCACGGAGCATTAAAAGAAGATAGAGGGATACACAGAGTCATTGTTCCAAAAAGGATTGGTTGATAGAACCATTTCAGGAAGTAACATATGTCCAGGAATAGTGATGATGAAAGAAGGCATTCAAGCTGCTCTGGAAGCATTAGCAAAAAAATAAGATCCCAGGAATTGATTAAGTACCAGTTGACATGTTTCAACAAACAGATGTAGTCCTGGATGTGCTCACTAATCTATACCCAGAAATTTGGAAAACAGTTACCTGGCCAACTAACTGGACATGTTCCCTATTTGTTCCCATTCCCAATAAAGGTAATCCAACAGAATGTGGAAATTATAAAATCATATGACTAATAAAATAAAGAATCTCACCACTGGGTCAATTGGTAGTACCATGATGGATTGAGAAGAGATTGAGGTTGTTACCAATTTCAGCTTGCTCAGCTTCACAATCAAAACTCTTGGCACCAGCAGTCGGGAAATCAAAAGATAAATTGCATTGGGGAAGTCTGCTGTCAGAGACCTTTCAAAATTGTTAAAAAAATAACAGTGATGTCAGTCTTGATATTAATATGTGCCTGATCCAGGCCATAATCTTCACAATTACTTGCTATTCATCAGAGAGCTGGGCAATGACTAAGGATGACTGTCAGAAGAAGAATTGACACCTTTGAGTTGTGGTGCTGGAGGATGGTATTGAACATACAATGGACCTCCAGAATAACAAATAAGTCTGTCTTGGAGAGAGTGGAGCCAAGTTTCTCCTTGAAACTCTATTTCACATACTTTGGACACGTGGCTGGGAGGAGCCACTCCTTAGAAAAGGACATCATGTTTACAAGGATGGAAGGACCATGCATGAGAGGAAGACCCCAGATGAGACCAATTTACATGGTAACTGGGACAGTGGGAATAGGTCTGCTGGGAGTCAGTGATAGGGATACACTCAGGATAGGGTAGGATTCAGAACTATTGTGCATATGGTCACTATGAGTTTCAGGCAACTTGATGGCACCTAACTACAGCAACATGACTAATGCAAGTAAAATCTTGCTTAAGGTTATCAAAAAAAAAGCTGGAACAGTATATTTACAGGGAAGTGTCAGAAATTCAAGCTGGATTTAGAAGAGGCCATGGCATATGTCATATCATTGCTGTTGTCAAATGGATCTTGAGTGAAAACAGAGAATACCAGGAGTATGTCTATTTGTATTTTATTGAGTATGCAAAGGCATTTGACTGTATGAATCATAACAAATTGTGAATAACATTGGAAAAATGGGACTCCAAGAACACTTAACTGTGCTCATGTTAAACCTATACTTAGACCAAGAAGCTGCCATCCAGATCACTGATTTAAAATTAAAATAAAATAAAACACACCAGCACATGAGGCAGGACAGTAATCTATTTCTAAACAATCTGTATGCTAGTAAATCTTATTTATGAAGAAGAATGTGGCATCAGGATTGGAGATAGGCTCATCAACAACATGCATTAGGCATATGACACAACTTTGCTTGCTGAAAGCAAAAAGAACTTGAAACACTTGCTACAGAAGGTCAACGACTACAGCCTTCAATATGGATTACATCTTAACATTAAGAAGAGAAAAATTCTCCCACCAAGTTGACAAACAATGTCATGAAAGATAAAGACTAAAGTTGTCGATGATTTCATCTTGCTTAGATCTACTATCAACACCTTTGACACCAAGAGTCAAACAATCAAAAGACATACTGCATTGGGTAAATTTGCCGCCAAGGACCTCTTTAAGGTGTTTAGATGTAATGATGTCAGTTTTAAGCCATGGTCTTTTCAATTGCTTATAAACACATCTAAAAATTTACAATGACTAAGGATGACATTGAACCTTTGAAAAAGAACCCTTGAGTTATGGTGTTTGGGGGGAAGTCTTAAATATCCCATGGACTGACAAAAGAACAAACAAATATGTTTCACAGAAAAGGTAGCCAGTGTGCTGCTTGGAGGCAAGGATGATGAAATTTCATTTCATACATTTTGGGCATATTGTTAGGAGAGGCTGGTCCTTGGGAAAAAGACATCATGCTTAGAAAGATGGGGAGTCAGTAAAAGAGAGGAAGACCTTAAATGAGATGGATTGACACAGTGACTATTATAGTGATCTCAGTTACATCAGAGTTTATAAGGGTGGCACAGGGCAGGTCAAGGTTCAAAACCATTGTTCATAGGGTTGCTATGAGTCATCGATGCCACAGCACTTAACACCACCACAAGGCTAATATCAGCAAAGACCACCCATCTATTTTAACATTGTTATTATGTCAAATTGGATGGGTCATGCTACAAAATGTGAATTATGCTAATGTTGTGTGAGAGAGTGTGTGTGTATTTGTGTGCACGTGTGTAAGCAAATGAGAGAAGCAGACAGATGTTCAAGAAAGAAATCTAACTAGAATTTTTCTAAACCTATTCTCATATTTGCAGTTTTCAGCCACCTCTGTCTTTTTTATTAAGACGTCCTTATTCTTTGTCTCCAAATTAACACCACCTAGAGCATGGCTCTGTGTGTGTGTGTGTGTGTGTGTGTGTGTGTGTGTGTGTAAAACCCGCCTTTTCTCCTGGACTAAATTGTGACAGCTTGGCTGAGTGAGGAGAATTTCTCCCACTCACCGAGCACACAGCAGACATGTTAGGCAAATGCTGCTGCTGGCAGTACACCCCGAGACAGAGGGGAAGGTGACACCGTGCACAGTGCACCCAGCATCTCGGGAAGTGGCTATACAGATGTGTGCTGCTGCTGCACCTTCCTGCTTGAACATTCCCGGAGCCAACACCCACCCATTCTCACAGCCTCTCTCTCTTTATTTTCAAGGAAAAAAGAAAGAGACAGACTGAAATAGAAGGCAAGCGCCAACAGCTTGACGAGCAGATACTTCTCCTGCAGCATTCCAAGGTAAGAGGTTGATCCTACGAACCTGTTCCATTATTAGACATGCAGATCACACCCCAGAGAGCTGGGCAGAGCCTGGGAAGGGGGCAGAATAAGCCCTTTTCTTTCAGTCTGCAAACCATGGCTGTGCTTTTCTTGTGAATTTCTCAAATTCAGAGCATTGTTACAGTATTCCAATTCCTGTAAGCCTGATGGCATACAATGTACATGCGGATGGGTGGGGAGTGGCACCTGCAAGTGGAATGGGAGGTTATATATATAGAAATTAGATGAGACTCCTCCACTTGGTGGGTGAGGCAGTGTGCCCAGCTGGCTTTCAGTGCAGAGGTGCTGTGTTTGTCCAGAATATGTATTTAATATGACACTCTTTATTAGTATGACAATTCATTCTTTTTGTTTTTGTTGTTGTTTTCTTCAGTATGACAATTCAAAAATAGCAATATTTGTCTTTCATTTTATGGAGGAAAGGGAAATAAGTACAATGTGGTCTGATAACAGAAAAGCATTGTATTTCTGCATATTCATTTGTTTGATTTCTTTTCTAACGATTTGGAGAGTGTTCTCTTAAAACAAGCAATTGGTGGGAGGCAACATTTGAATGAACTGACTTTGTTGGGTTTCCATTGCATCACGTAAGACAGTGAGCATGAGGTTTTGGTTTGTTTTTTTTTTCCTCTTTAAGATATAATGCACTTAAGCAGCGTAATTGATTCCAGCCCAAGAGAAAGCTCTGTCACTGTCACAAGAACTCCGCTGGTTGCAAAATGTTTCCTGCATGCTCAGAGAATAATGTGACTACATTCCGCTGGCCAGCTGGGAGCTGCCATTCCCTTTGCTCCTGGGCGCTTTTATTTTGTAAGGAAAACCTCGTGCTGCTTGCTTCAAGTTACTGTGACATTGTATGTGCAGGATTGCATTGCATGGATCAGGGCAGGGCGGCACTGACTTCCAGAGTGTTACTAGAGTGTTTGGATTATTTAAAAAAAAAACAAACACAAGATTAAACCTTTATGGCTGCAATTTCTGTTCTTCTGTGGAAAACAAGACTGTGCTGAAAGAAGCCCTGAAATTAGAATGCTCAGGCTAGTTTCTAATTTTGAACAGCAGCGTGACCTATATCTGCCTAGCATAATTATCTAGTTATTGCTAACTTTGATCAGAGAAATCTGGTTAAAAGGGGAGGGGAAAGGAAGCAGTAGGATATTGAGAAAAATGCCCGTTTTTCTCTCTTTGTCATGTAATCCGCGTGTGTACTTTCCTTCGTAGGAGCTTGCCATATGTTCTATACGCCATTGCTCTTTCCTTTAAAAATTTTTTGTAAGATGTAGAGCTAAAATTAAGATCCTTTTCTTATAAAGAGGTGGGCTTTAAAAGGCAGCATGAATTGTTCAAGGTCAGTCTGGACTGAGTTGGATCTCTGACTTGTCCATTCACTCCTTGCAAGAGACCAAAATGTACTTAAACCTCCATGTGTTCTTGGCTAGAGGGGAACTTTACTGTAAGAGGATTTAAAGAATAAGAAAGGCAGTTTTGATTCACCACCCTTTCTACTCTTTAAGTACACTGGTTTTTCTTTGCTTTTCTTGAATGAAAAGTGAGGCCGTGAGTATATATCAGAACATGGAGTTTTGGTGGCCCCAAATTTGATCATCTGGGCGCCAGCTCTAGGGGCTTAGTGTTAAGGAGGTGTGCTGCCACCCCAAAGGCACGCGATTCAGATCCACCAGTTGCTCCACAGGAGAAGGATGGGCAGTCTCCTCCTGTATGCTTAACGGCCTCTGAAAACCTGCTGGGAGCGTCACCTTGGGCAGTTCCAACTTGACGGCACATAACAATAACAACAAGCTGGTACCGAACAAACTGCTAAGGGCTCCGAGCTGTTCACTGCGGATGGCAGCACATTGCTCTTCCAAATGTGTTCATTTTCTGTGTCTGCATTCTTTCATTCACTCATGCAATCAAAAGAAACAACTATCAAAACAACTGCTAGTCTTGTGTGGGGAAGCAGTGGGACTCCTTACAGGTCTTGGGAGCAGGAAATCAGAGAGTTCTTTATAATCATCTTTATAATCATGAAATCTTCACACAGCTGGTAAGATGGGCTCTTCAAGGCAATGCCCAGCTCTCTCACACAGGAGAAAGTGCTGCACCCCCGGAACAAAGTCTGGATGGTGACCGAATTAGCGGAGACTGGTGACTTGTATTCTTCTCACTCTGGGGAAACCCATGGACACAACATTAGGATGGATTGTTATTTTTGAACAATTGAAAAATAAAAGCTCAGAGATTTCAAAGGTGGAAGCATGTATCTGGTATGGCCCTGGAGGAAGGTCCCATTTCTGGGAGGCGCTAGGTTTCTGGGTGCTGCCGAGGTGGTGTCTGGAATAGGTGAGGAGAGGCATTGGGCTCCACTGTGCCCTGGGTGAAATGACCCTCAAGGCTGTGCCTCTCTTGTCCCAAGTTCATCCTTCTCCAAATATTTTTTTTTCTTTAATCTGAAAGGGGAGTATCTGATAAAGGATAGGAGACTTCTTGCACTAGGAAGTGATACGCTCTACTTTCTATGATTTGTTGCCTAAACTTGAACTGCTGTTGAATCAGTTTCAATGCACAAAGACCCTGTAAGTCAGAGCAGAAGTACCTACAGGGTTTGCAAGGCTGCAGTCTTCATGGAAGCAGGCTCTTTTCCCGATGGAGTGTATAGTGGGTTCAAACCACCCATCCACCAGGATGCTTTGAACTTGATTAGTGATTTATTGTCCCTGTGGTCATGCAATTCTGAGCTTGAAGGGCCTTGTGAACCTCTTGCTGGGAAGTTCACTAGCTTCCTTTATATCTTATTATCTTCTTATCCCTTGGTGACAGAGATTCCCTGTTTGTTGAGTGTCTAATATGTGCTTGGGAGCTCTGATGGCATAGTCCATAGGAGTTCTAATGCTAACCTAAATTGTGGCACAGCTCTGAAGTCCAAAGCCACCAGGGGCCTCACAGGAGAATGAATATGTGGTGGTATAATGCATTATATGTTGTCCTACCAACTTCAAGGTCAGTGCTTTGAATTTCCACCTGCTCTGTGGGGGAAAGGTGACCAGTGAAGATTTACACTGTGTAAATCCTGTGAAGATTTACAGCCTTAGAAATCCAGAGGGTCACTGTGAGTCAGAATCAACTCAACAGCAGTGGGGGTTTGGGGAGTTGATTTTTTTTAGGGGGGATGTTTGTGTGTATGTGTTTTTAACATGTATCTGAAATTCTTAGGATAAAAATTGTTAACACACTCATTTGCCAACTCGAGGAGTGAAGGTTCGAGGCCACCCTGAGGGCCCTAGGAAGAAAGACCTGGCAGACTACTTCCATAAAATCTGCCCTTGGGCATGTTGTAGAGCACAGTTCTGCTTGGACATGTTTAGGCCACTGTCAGTGAGAGCTCAGTGGCAGTACTTTTAAGATGTGCCTGGTATTTTAAATTGATGTCCTTGATAACAACAGCAAGGTAGATGTTACTGTTCTCATTTTATAAGTGAGGAAACAAATTTTAGAGGTTAAGTAATTTTCCTGAGACCATAGAAACTAAGTGGAGGAGCCTAGGATGAAACCCAGCACTGTCTGCCTGCAGAGACTACCCTCTCTCCATGTCAGTGTTCTCTACAAACACAGTGTTTACTTCTGAATAATTTGTTTAGAGACATGATTTAGAGATATCACAAGTTGATGGCTTTACCAAACAGGAGGTTAGTTTCTCACAAGCTTACTGAAGAATTCATTGTTGCTAAGTCAGAATTAACTCCTCACTGATCTTCTATTGGGTTTCCTGGGTAAATCACATGAAAGGAGATTGCCCATCTTTCTTCCTGAGAGCCAAAAGTGGATTTGAAACACCAGAGAGCCACTGTTTAGGGGTTTTCCGTGCAACTGCCTGCAGACCATGATACCAGAGCTCTCTTCTCCCAAGTCCGAGTGCTATAAACCTGAGTTCAGGAAGCTGGTTCTAAGGGAAGACTTTCTCAGTCAACTGTGGAGAAAAAAGATCCTTCTCTTCTGAATCTTATGGTCCGGCATGTGTTCTCTACCATCTCTGATGGCTTGTTTAGTGTCTTTTATAGCTTAAAAGAGACTGATTGAAAACACACCCTACAGTAATCCAGCTTCATTAGCATAGCAGAAACCACCCTTTGCCATATGGCATTATAACCACAGTTGTTCTTAGATGCCTTCTGTCAAATACAACTTACAGTAACCCTATGAACAACAGATCTGAACCCTATCCTGTCCTGTGCCATTTTCATCATCTATGACATCCTTGTTGTGTTGTTGTTGTTGTTGTTATGTACCACCCATTTGGAACCAACCCATACTACAAAATGAAACATCTTTTTTAAAAATAAATTTTTTATTTTATACTAGTTTACTTATAAAGTTCATATACATTGTTTTTCACATCAGATCTTTCCCATTTCTTTTATCCACCTGGACTTCTACCCATCAAGTTGTGCAACCCTATGATTAACTATCACCACCACCCACCCACCCCTTGCCCAATCTCACCCCTCTGCTCCCTCCCCCCACCCCGATCCTCATATAAGAACATCATTATTTTTATATGGATTAAACAAATTCTGTAATACAATGAAAGACCAAAGTGTAAAATGTTGAAACATTAGATGCTTCAACTTGGTAATTAGGGGACCTCTGGATACTTTGAGGTCTTGGCCAAATAAATATCAATTCCTTTTTACAAGAGCCTCAGATTTATTTTATATTAACATTTGTGATGTTAGCATCCCCATACCTTTTCAATATGTATGTGGAACAGATCATTTATAAGGACGAATGTGACATCAGGATTGGAGGAAGATTCATTGACAACCTATATTATGCAGATGACACAACCTTGTTTGCTGAAACTGAGGAGGACCTGACACATTTGTTGCAGAAGGTTGAGGACTGTAGCCTTCAATATGAATTGAAGCTCAACATCAAGAAGACAAAGATTCTTCTCACCA